CAATTACATTAATATGTAATCTATTACAATTACTATTACCAGAAAATTTTTGATATTACTATTACTATTACATTACTTGACTAAACTAAAGTAATTTGATTATATTATATTACTTTTATGTGAAGGTACATGTACATAAATAAAAGCTTTTGACATAAAAACGTGTTCTCTACACATGACCAAGTAACTTCAAAAGAATCGGGTGTGCCACAAAGTTCCTCCTGACAGTGGCACTGACAAATTGATGCTTAATGATTTCTATGAACTGTCAAGTACAGCATGTATGTAATCAACACATTACATTGTAACTTCTATTACAATTACTATTACTGAGCGTCTATTTCATATTACTATTACTATTACAATGGATTTTGTTTTTTTCAATTACTATATATTACTATTACACCAATATTTGTAATCATTATTATTACTATTACATATTACCCCATGTCTGCTGTACTGTACAGCACGTACAATCTTGCTAGCCTATGACTGAGACAGTTGGGGGAGGACTTAATTTAGACTGTAAGAAAAAACTGACCCACAATTAATAACAATTCTAATTATAGTAACAGCAATAACACTATATTTAAATAAAAGTAATAGTAATAACACTATATGCAATAGTAATAATAGTAGCTGTACATGATGCAGTAACATTAAAATAGTAGCTAACAGCAATAACACAAAAGTAATAGCAATATCATGCAATAGCAATAATAGTAGCAGTATGCAGTAACATTAAAATCAATAACATTATTCTAATCATAGATATAATATAGCAGTAATAATGCAATAGACCTAATAACAAACAATAATAATGATGTAAGGACTTTTAATGTATGCATTATTGCTTCATAAAATTAATGATTTTTCGGCCTGTTTTTTTTAAACTTTTCCACATGTGCTTAGTACCTTCACAAGCCAGTTTTTCAAATGCTTCTTCATCTGTTACAGTAGCTAGTAACTCAGCTTGTTGCCGAACTTCATAAAAGTAATCTATGCGCTTCTCCCAACCAGCATTTTTTTGTTGTTCTTCAGATTTAATGAGTAGGTCAATGTACTCCACTTCAGTTAGTGGATTTGGCTTAAGTGCAATCTCATCAAGACGCTGTAGACACTTGCGAGCTTTACGTATGTTGTACAGAACAACACGTTGCATTTCCTGAAGCTCTTTTTCAATTTCTTGAATTATATACTCAAGTTTATCTTTTGCTGTTTTTGCTTCAGTGTATCGTTCATAAAGCTCTTGTGATGTCCTTGTTTCCATTTCCTCATAAAACTCAAAAATATATCCATTATTGAAATGCTTCTCCCAGCTACAATGATTGACACAAACCTTACAAGTTGCATTACTCTCATTACCAGACATTGCACAACATTTCCATTTATCTTTATCATTACCATAGATACAATCGTTATGGCATGTAATACTGCAATAGACACAATTAGTAACATATTGGCCATGAGGAAGTGGGATCTGCCGTTGTTTGGTGACTTTTACTTTATATTTAAAATCTTTATTTGCTAATATTTTCGATTCATTTGCCTTCAGCATTTCTTCTTCTTGTTTTAGTTCATCAATTTTTGCTAGTCCTGCATTGATTTTTGGTTGAATACCATTAACAATTGTTTCTAGTTGCTGGCGTTCATGTAAAACTTCACGAGTCATCTGGAGACTGACAACACCTGATTGTTGAAACTCAATAAAAAAATCTCTTAAACTGGCATATCCCATATTCCAAAACATTTTAGAAAAATCTGCCTTACCATCAGAATGAGCAAAAAGGGCAGAATTATTGAAAGGAAAGAAACTTGCATGAGGGATATTTGCTTCTCTTATAGCTCCCATTACTGGTGGATCAGCACCATCAGCAAAAGTTGTCATGATGAAGATATTATCCTTGATATCTTTTCCAAAAATAGAAAGGATTGAGTCAGAAATGTATTTTTGAGTTGGAGTTAATCTTGCTAGTGATGCTTGAGTAACAAAACCAATCCCATGCAATGAATCCAACCCATCCCTACCCTTCAGTTCAAAAAACTCTCGTATGTGTCTTGTGATCTCTTGATCTCTTTTTAGGCCACGAGTGTCACCAAACCCAGGTGTATCAATGATGGTTAAGTTGCAATTTAATGGAGAACCTTTTTGCCAGTAAAAAGTGTAAGCAGTGATCATTTGTGTTTGACTATGTGCCTGGCTCTGACTTACCTCATCATGAATTAGTTTCAGACGAAATTCATGTTCCCACTTCACTCCTAGTAAAAAGTTGACCATTGCATTGATTAATGTGCTTTTCCCAGCTCCAGTAGCTCCAACAACCATTAGTACTCTTGTTGGTTTATGAGGAACAACAGGAATACCAAACTCCACTTTGGCAATATTGCTTTTTTTAAGGTCTAATGGCCTAGCATGAATTTGATACACTACAGGTGGCCCAGCTTCAATGACTGTTGATTTAGCAATGATATTCTCTAGCCTATAATCGACCATTGGCAATTTAGTTTGTATAATCTCACTAATCTCACTTTCTTCACTGTGACCCAAACTACATTCAGCACGTACCTTGGCTATATACTTTGTATCTGGCTTTAAATTACTGAGTGTAATAGTTGTTTCATTTCCTTTTGTCCTTTGATTATGCCACCTGTTTGATGGTGATTCATTGATGCACTGCAGACTGATTGTGTAGCAGTCAATGCTTGATGAGCTATCTAGTGTTTCTGATGAGCTAAAATGGTATGCATTTGGTCCAATTAAAGCCCACAATTTTTTTATAAAATTGCCAATGCTAGTGACTATAAAAATTATCATTTGGTACAAAACAAGCCAAATTTTAGCAAATTTTGACTCATTATCAATAACCCTAGATGCTTTCCATTGCAGCTTTATGCTATCGTGCTCTACACTAATGGGTTTTGGTTTTCCTGGTCGACCAGGAGGATCAAACTCACGATATGGTATTCCATTCTCATAGTGCATTATGACTGCCCCTTTGCTTGTAGTATCATCTGTGACATCGTCTTCACTGTTGTCTGTGACAATGAATGATACTTCCTTACTTCCAGCATTAGCCTCACAAAAAGCAGAGAATTGCTTAACTTTTTGACAAAGATCTTGATGCATGGACTCCGTTTTGAACCAAGGCACAGAGGAAGCTTGTATGCTTCGACTTACTTCTCTG